ACACACACCACACACAACACACAAGTTTTATATATATATATTATATATATATATATATATATATATATATATATATATATATATACATATATATATATATATATATATATATATATATATATATATATATATATCATTTATATGTGTATGCACACATATGTATATATACACACATGTACATTATATCACATGTATATATAACTATGTATGTATGTATGCATGTATGATGCTTGTATATCATATATTGTATATGTATATGTGTGTGTGCATACACACGCACACACAGACACACACACATATATTTGTTTTTTTCCACTGCGTTTTTGTTTAATTTTAAGTAATAGTGACAAAGAAAATCAATAGCCTTTTATTTTGAAACATAGATGACGTTACTTTGAGCATGCATTATACTTCGTATTCAAAGCAATGTACTTTCTTTGCCAATCTCTAAGAAGGAATGACCATAATCTAGGAATAATTCGTCTTTTAGCTCCGTAATACTTTTGATCCTGGTCCTATTTTCCGTGACTTACCAAGGATACGATGCAGAAATTATTATACACACACACACACACACACACACATATATATATATATATATATATATATATATATATATATATACCTTGTGAACTATTTTTCAACTTTTCCGACGAGGTGCGAGGCTCACGTGACCCCATTCCCAAACGCCATCTTAGATCATCGTCGGTGTATAAAACCACACACACCCTGGGCTTTCACACACAGTGTTTCACAATCGCAGCATAAGACACAATACCATGGCTAAGATTTCTACTTTGTCCCTGCTGGTGTTGGCAGGTCGCTGCCGGACTCTATTACGAGAGCTTTCCGTTGGTGTGTCCCCTTAAGCAGGACGTGCAGTACGAAGACAAAGTCATACAAGCCACCTACTTGGAGGTCGTTCAGGAACCCTTGGTCGCTACGCACGTTCATCTCAAGACTGTTTACCAGACAACCACACTGCCCGTCACTGCCACCCACGTCCACACCGTCACTGCGCCACCGCCCAATGTCACCGTCACACAGGTCCAGCTCCTCGAGACTCAAGTGCCACTCACGCTGACGCAGATCGAGACCGTCACAAGGAGACTCAGCGAGACCGTCCTCGACGTGGCCACACGAACGGCAACCAACTACCACACCCTCGTGGAAACCGTGGCCGTGCTCCAGACCCACTTTGACACCGTGACGGAGGTCCAGACGCGCCTGCTCGATGTCACGCTTACGGTGCACGAGACCCAGTTTTCCACGCTCACCTGGACACTGAGTCAGCTGGAGACCCAGCAGCTGGTGGAGAGCGTGAAGGAGACGAGCGTGACGACCACCACGGAATATGTTCCTCGATACACAACCAACACTCACACGCTCACCAAGATGGTGACGCAGACTGTGTGTCCGCCGAGTGCACAACAGTCGCTCAAATGGTGAAATGTTCATATTATGTTGTCTACCATACTTTTTCTTTGTAATAAATTGAGTCGAGAAGAAAAATATTATTTTTTCCTAATCTAATTCACCTGACTGGCATGGAAAAAAAATCAAGGCAATGTCTGTGCAAGTGCACAACACACACATTTTCATGTGAAATAAATAACTATTAGACAGGAGTTGATTTTTCATTACATGTGTATTCATGATGTAGCTGTTCCTGAACACACAGACCAGAATATGCAATACTAAAATAGTAAAAGAAAATAAAGATAAGGAAATTAATAATTCTAAGAAGTAACTGAAAAGATAGCACAAAAACCTAGATTATTCATTTTCTATAGAAATAACCAGAAAAGATATATCTTATCCAGAGAAGTCATATATTCCTACAGATCACTGCTTCACTGATGAAAAGTATAAAAGGTGGTTACTAGTTGAGCAGTGATGAAAATATACAATTTAGAAAGCCAAAAAGCAATCAGTCACTCACTAAATGATTCAGCCATGTTGCAGTTTCGATTTCATGCAATAATTTTATTTTTGTTTCAATTGTCGATAATGCAAATGAAATCAGGAGTCGTCCAAATGCGTCTTGATTCCGGTAGACTTTTCCAGCCTTCCAAGAAATTGATGTGATTTAAGTTTAAGGAGTTTTATATTTTATATAAAGAGTTTTCATTGAAAAAGTACTCTTTTGGCTCACATATACACGTAATTAATTGAGACAGAAAACTGCACAAACACCAACGGACAAAGCAAAAATCTTAAGCATGGTGTTACAGTATGCCTCTTACTGTGAGTTCGGAATTCATATCACGGTGAAGTAGAATGAGGTTTTGGGAACGAGGCCATGTGATCCTCGCCGCTGCACTTAGTCATGGGTCGAGAACCAAGAGTCGGAAAATGTCTGTAAAAAAAAAAAAAAAAAAAAAAATATTCTGCATTGTCATATATATATATATATATATATATATATATATATATATATATATATATATATGTGTGTGCGTGAGTGATAAATAATGTATATGCATATACACACACGGGCGCGCGAGTGCGTACACATACGTATATATACATATATATATATATATATATACATCATATAGATAGATATACTGTATATAAAAATGGCAACTTTCTTCTAGGCACCCTCTTTCAGTCCGACACGATGTAAAACGAGGTCAAAATGCCTCTCAGGCTGCCGCGTCGATGATTAGGTCGGGGTTCTTGACCTTTTTTGAGCAGTGACCCCAGCGCTTTTGCCTGTCAAGCAAACGACCCATATCCTTAAAATTATATTTACCAACATATGTCATGTTTTTGAATGTAAATATCAAAAGTTTTAACAGGCAGTTTTATCTTGATTAACAGACACTAAACATCAAAATTAATATAAAATATTTCCATCCAATTTGGAGTCGTGATCCATAGGTTAAGAAACCTCGGATGTGTCATGTTTGTATTATTGTCTTCTTTGGCTGCATGTACTTCATTTGTTATGGTTAAACATTTCTGTATATTAAAAAAGGGTACAGGCTTTTCGACTTTCGCTGACTGAATACCTCGTAAGTATTGCCGGCTATAATGTGTTTTAGAGCAGTTCTATAGCACCTCTGTACATGGAGTCTCTATACTCAACCAAAAACAAACTTATGAGCGAAAAATGCGAAAATATTCGTTTGTTAATCGAATTGGATATAAAATTCATAAAAAAATACAGTGATATAAAGCATTTTTAGCCCTTTGCTGATACCCTGGATTATTTCTGTTCGGGAAAGATTTTTTGTTCCATGTTTTGTTTAATTCTACCAATTAATGTCATGTCTTATAGTGAGGCCCTATACATAAAAACACTTCGTCAGGTCCCCCCTGAGGATGAAAGGAAACATCAAATTGTAGAACAGTTTGTTTTATCATACTCACATAAAGACAACATTTCGTCAAACAATATCAACATATTCTCATTTTAGCGTCCATAAGTGATCCTGGGCTGGTAACACTTGGTAACGTACTCGCGCTCTGTAACGGTGACCGTCTTTTCCAGCTGCACATCCTTGTAACTGGTGACCGTTTGGGTCTCCCAGACCGCGAAGGTCTGGCGAGTGGTCTGCGTGACAAAGTGAGGCGCCAGCTCGGTCTCGGTGACCAGTGCCAGCTGAGTGTCCGTGACGGAGAGAGTGGAGAAGGCCGTCTCCAGCTGAGCCGCGTCAGCGTCAGCGTCTTGGTGTCCAGCTGTATCGCCGTCTGCGTGAGGGTCCTGTCCTCCACGGCAACTTCGCTGGCCAGGAGCTGCACGGTCTCGGTGAGCACGGTGGTGGTTCGGGCGACGGCCAGCTTGGTGTGGAAGGCCGTTGAGTGAGCAAGCTGACTTGAGTGAGTATGGAAGGGTCGGGCGTGAGCGTGAGCTGCAAGGTCTGCGTGTAAGTGGGCCTTTCCACCACGAAGCTGGTGACCTTTACGTCTTGGTGTTCATGCTGCAGGTCCAGCGTGGTTGCCTGTTCAAGAAGGGTTCCACGGTGGTTCTGGTAAGAGTGATTTGCTCGGTTCGAGGCTGACACGAAGTGGCAGATGGAGGGTAGAGGCCTCCTCCGAAGGCGGAGCTGAGCAGAGACAGCGTCAGGAGGAAGGTATACATGTCCATTGCCTTGTTAGGGTGAAAGGAGAGTGACACCGCTTCTATCACAGAATTGACCTTATATGCAGAAGAAAAGCGATGATAGCAGTGAATGGATTGTTGAAGGCAGAGAGGAAACTGGGAAAGGTGGGAGGGAGAGAGGAGACTAGAAGAGGATGGCGCGTGCTTATTTCACCTTTCTTATATATATATATATATATATATATATATATATATATATATATATATATATATATATATATATATATATATACGAATGATCAAACATAATCCAGTGAAGTTTCCAACTTGCATTGAAAGCACACAGTCCGTATAAGATTTATTAATTCGATAGGAGGCAGTATAACTATCATGCCAGAGATTCGAGTCCTGGTCAGGGAGAGTTGTAATACCTATATAGTTGTTATACCTATATTAGTACATCAGACAGTATTCTAATTTCTAAATCCATTTCCACCGAGAGCCCACGGAAAGTATGGAAAACCTCGCTGTCATTACTCTAGTCTGAGTAAATAGGTAATGTCTATGAAGCTAGCAAGTTCCGAGTTGGACACGTATTGGGTCGTGTGTTTGGCTGGTTTAATACTGGTCATTTTGGGTCATACCTAGAATGGTTGAGATTCAAGTCCTGCCAGGGTGCTTGGCATTTGTCTATACCAATGCGCCAATGCATTATTCCATCTTTCACAGGGCACATCTGACTTAATGTTTGAATTTCTAAATAAATTTCCAACCAACGGTGTGTGTGTGTAATGTAATGTCATATGTTGTGGGATTATAGTATATATCTATCTTTTATTATACTGTGTAGTTATAATGTGTTTGGTATATATATATAGATATGTATATGAGGTAGATAGATAAGATAGAATAAGAAAATGATATATGTATTTACATTATTTACATATAC